CTGTCCTGGGAATCATACTCCATTGTAAGGATAAGGGCTGGGATGTTGGTATGAGGAAGATGTCTTTATCAGGCAAATCCTTAAATCTGCTTTACAATGGCACTGAGCACACATCCAAAGCGCTCCATTTACTGTGTCCATTTATGTCAAGCATAGCATAGCAGCTAGAAGGCCACGCCTCACCGTCACTTTAGAAATCTCTATCTTCCTAAAAACCCACCTAAATGTTCCAGAAACAGACAGCCTGGCCAGGACATCGCAGAAAACCCAACACCTCAAATGAGGGCAAACTGTGGTGCCCATGGCAACGCCACAGTTCATTTTACATTTTCATCAGGTAGAGGGCCAAAGTGTAGTTGTTACTATTTGTTCAGAACGGGAAGTCACTTAAAGTGATACTCAGTTGATTTGATACTTTATAAAATAGAATTCTTTTTTTAAAAGAAATATTTTTTATTGATTTCAGAGAGGAAGGGAGAGGGAGAGAGAGATAGAAACATCAATGATGAGAGAGAATCATTGACTGGCTGCCTCCTGCACGCCCCCTACTGGGAATAGAGCCTACAACCAGGGCATGTGCCCTTGACCAGAACTGAACTTGGGACCCTTCAGTTCACAGGTTGATGCTCTATCTACGGATCCAAACCAGCTGGGGCTGAAATAGAATTTTTAAAAGAGATTTCTTTGTAAAGGTTTTGGTAATTAAATAAAATGAACTATTTTAGAATCGTGATTAGCCTGAATAACTAAAAGAGCCCCATTGATCGCAAATATGGTGAGGTTGGCCCTGGCCAGTATAGCTAGATTGGTTGGAGCGTCAGCCCATGTACCAAAGGGTCATGGGTTCGACTTTTGGTCAGGACATATACCCAGGTTTCAGGTTTGATCCCTGGTCGGGGCATGTAAGGGAGGCAATGGATCAGTGTTTCTTTCTCTCTCCCTCTCCCTTCCTCTATCTCTCAACTCAATTAAATAAAAATATTAGAGGAAAAAAGATGAGGTTTTATCATGGGTGAGGCCACAACCTCCAAGTAAGCAAAATTATTTAAAATGCCACACGTAGAAAAGGACACTGATTACTCATGGTATGTGTGAAATTATATTTGCGCTGTCTCAATGATCAGTGTTTACTTCTGAAAACTGTTATAAAAGGCACTCAAATGTTTGGGATTGTCTGACACATAGCTCCCAAACATGAGTTCACAACCACATACACAAGTTCAATAAAACCCAGAAAGCTGTGTTCAAATGAAAGTTTTAATGAAGTATTAAGAACCAGGCTTTTAAAAGGACAGCCTAATAGTGACACCTCTAAAGTGGATGCAAGTTTCCCATTAAAACATGTATCAAGCAGAATAATCCCCAACGTCAGTCTCCCTGCAAGGTTCCTAGGCTGATGCAGGTGTTGACACGTGTGGTAAGCAGCCTGTGCCAGCCGGTCCTTTATCATACAACTCCAGTTATTACAGGTGTATGTGGAAGCCTATTCCTTCTTCTAATTAGCATTTTACAACATGGATGACAACATAGGCTGAATGGAATGGCTCCTGGCTCCTCTGGAAATGCTGGTTAAAAAGGATCTGGTGATGTCTGAACACCCATGGTCTTCCCCTCTATCCAACAGGTGAAGCTACTAAGTCGCAGACCCCATTAGGAAATCACTGAGTTCTCCTAGGACAGTGATGGCGAACCTTTTGAGCTCGGCGTGTCACCATTTTGAAAAACCCTAACTTAACTCTGGTGCCGTGTCACATATAGAAATCTTTTGATATTTGCAACCATAGCAAAACAAAGATTTATATTTTTGATATTTATTTTATATATTTAAATGCCATTTAACAAAGAAAAATCAACCAAAAAAATGAGTTCGCGTGTCACCTCTGACACGCGTTGTCATAGGCTCGCCACCACTGTCCTAGGATGTCACCCACGGAGAGCTCTCTAATTTCATCCGCCCAGGTACCATAAAACTGTAACCCAGTGAACTCCTATGGATGGCCCGATAGGTTGGTCACAGATGGTACTGCACAGGCAAGTCCGAAATTGCGTTCTGTAAATGCCACCTAGATTTTCAGGCCCAGCCCCACCCACAGTTCAATTCTTCTGACTCAAGTGATGCTCAGCCAAGTGGTGATCAGGAAAAATCATCTCTGCATGGGAGGACTCAAAAGAATTTGTCACTAGGATACAGTGACACCGATCCCACATTTTGTGGTTAATAAAACAAGTCCTGCATCCAGCTTGGCACCAGGCCCTGATCTAATTTATTTCAAGCCAAGCGGGAGGGCTTACAGAAAAAGCTGCCATTCATGAAGGCTTCAAGATAGGCCACCAGGGTCCCGTGTAGCAAAATTCACATGGGCCAGAAATCTCTCTGACTGACCTTTTGAGCAAACGTAGCCGATTTCCTGAAGAGAGTTGTATTTTCTTAAAAAAAAAAAAAAAAAAAGTAATAGTTTTGCCTACAAAATCTCAGTCTTGCTGGAAATTTTTCTCCAAAAAGGTGTCCTGTGAGTGACAAAATGGGGGGAGGGGTGCAGGGAAAAGAAATGCTCGGATGTATGATTTAACCATCTCAAACATCAAAAGCTTAGGGTGGTCCTCTCCCTGCCCCCTCTCCTCCCCTAATGTAACCAAATATGAGACACGTAGGACTTTCCCAGGGAAGTCTACATACAGCCTTCATTTTAGATTTCCTGCCCCAGCACATAATTAGGAATTTTCATTCTAAAATGGCACACCTATTTCCTCAGAGAGCTCTGCTATCTTTGAATAAAAAAGGCTAGGTGCCCTTTGGGGGACTCAGTGTATATTTTTAAACTTCTTATTATACCAACCTAATTTATGGGGCATGTTTAAGAAAACCAGGTAAGGAGTTGATTTGGCAGATGCAAAGTTAATTTGCAGACTCTAGCATACCACCCGCTTTCTTCTCGCTCCTCCCGGAGCCTTCCGAATGCCTTCGGCCCCCTAGGCAGCAGCTCGGCTCTCTCCGCCAGGCCCCCGACTCGGTGCCGAACATCAACGAGTCCCTCCGAGCCCCGCACCCAGCCGGCGCCGAGCCTTGCCGAACACTGCCGAGCTGAGCCCCATCGACTTTTCCGGCTTCGGCTGGGCGCTGTCCACCACTCGCAACGCCTGAAACATCACCCCGCTCCGGTAGCTGGTGGCCCGGGCTTCTACAGGGCTCTGAGCCCGCCACTGCCGATTACAGTCTTCTGAACTTTTAAAATACCCTCCCTGGCGAGACAGGGGTGGCTCTGCTTGCACTGACCGACCCGCAAGGGCTCCCGGCAGATGCAACATGCACCTGGTTGCAAAGAGCAATTCCCCAGGCCCCGCCTCCCCATCCATTTGTGTTGCAAAAGCCCCAGAGAAGCCCCAGGCCAAATTACCCGTGACTCAGAGGGGTGCGGCGAGCCGAGGGGCCTTTTGCACAGAAAGTCCCAGGGGCCTTCCGAACAAAATAAGAACATGTCAAGCAGACGGGGAAAATTGTCTCCAAGTCGCTACTCCCTACCATCATGGCGCCGTCTAGAACCCGCTTGTCATGCCTGTTACACATGCAAGAATTTTTGCATCTTGTTTCTGAAACCGCAAGCACGCTTCGTCTCCCACCCACCTTTCCACGAAAGGGGTTTTTATTTTCCCTTGTTTTCCAAACGGGGTGCAATTACTTCGGCTATTCTGTCAGGTTGAAAAATAATCATTTTTGTTTACTGCACAGCAACCCCTAATTAGGAGCTGGGTGTGCATGAAGGTGTCACAGCAAAGAGACGTGGAATCCTCGCTAAATGGTCTTAACGAACCCCTCCATCCGGAACTGACAGGTCAACGGAAGCAGCGGGGTCAGGAGACCAGGAGGGCGCACCCCTTCCCTGCAGGCCACCCCCCTCCCCAAGCAACCTGCCTGTGGGTTCAAACTGCCAGGGATGGGGCAAGAAGCAAGCCCGAGAGTGGGAAGGAGGGGCGAGGCTCCTTGCTGAGAAAGTGGGGAAGGGAAGGAATATCCCATTTTGTTTTAATTTTCCACCATCACTCAAATCCACCCCCAGTTAATTTAAGGAGGGGAAACTGATAGCTGAGGCAGAAGGGGGCGGTGGCAAGTGGGGCCTGAAGTCCGCATTGTGGGTAGATTACACGGAACACGGCTGATGCAGACTGTAAATAAATACACTGATAAAGGCCATAGCGTGAAGGAAAGCTGCCAGTGTTAGGACAGCAAACGCGGGGAGAGTGGGTGAAGGCGGGGGGGGGGGGGGGGGGGGCAGCAAGGGGCGGGCATTCAGCCTCGCAGCCCTCCTCCCCTTTCCACCTCGGCCTTAGATCCCAGTGCCAGTCACATCCACTTGGACACGCACCCCTCCCCTACCACACACCCCTTCCCCTATCCCTCATTCTCTTTTCTAGGGGGAAAAACGGGGGGGGGGGGGAAGGGCAGAAACCACAGCCTCCCAATTCAGCACCAAATCCATGAACAGCAAACATTTGATCCTCCACCCCAGCAATCTAGGGCTGGGTCCCCTTCATGTTTAGCCAAGTTCAAAATCACTGCCCCAGGAGAAGAGCTGGGGAGATGGGATTATGGATGTAGAGTGGGGGGTGGGGGTAGAGGGTGGAGGAGTGAGAAACAGAAGGAAACAGAGACATAGAGACAGAAATGGAGGCAGCGATACACACGAAACACCCCACAAGCAAGAGTAATGATCATAACCATGCCAATAGTGTGATGTCCTGATCAATATGGCGGACACTGTCATTCATACAACTACAAGCTCTCCCTGTCTCCCCCTCCCAAGAAAAAACCACCCACCCAGGCAGTTGGGGCGAGGGACCCAGAACCAAGGGAGGGAGTGGGAGAGGGGAGTCAAATCCAGGTGTGTGTGTGTGTGTGTACACGAATCAAAAACCGGGCCTGGAGAGCAATGTGGAGTGAGCAAGGTAATACCAAAGATTAAAAAATAATTCTTAATAAAAGTACCAGTGCCACAAGGACTTACTTCATCTGCTTCACAATGGTGCTTTTTCCTGATTCTCCAGCCCCTGTTGGGACAGACAGGGGGGGGGGGAACTGGTCAGTGTCAGTTTAGGGGAACGGGGTAGAGGGTGGGGGGCGGGGGGTAAGGCATGCGAGAGGGTGGGCGATCTTGGCACATGGAGATGCCACCTCGGGGACCAGGTGTCCCCGGGCGCGAATGGGGTGCGGGAGCTTGCGGAGGGGAGTGCGGAGCGGCCCGGGTCGGGGGATGGGGTGTCAGCCCAGTCCTTACCCAGCAGGAGTAATTTCACGTCTTTGGCGGCGCTGATGCCATCCTCTTTGAGGTTTTTCTCAATCGCCTTGCTCCGCTCGAGGGCGGCTCTCTCCTCGGCGCTCAGAGTACATCCCATGGCGGCCCCTTCCCTGCCACAGCCCGCACGACTCGGCTGGCACGGCTCCCCGGCTCGGCGCGCCCCCCACCCCCCCAGAGAGCAGAGCCTGGGCTCAAAGGGGGACAAAAAATCTCGCTATCCTCCTCCCTTTGGCTGAAAACAAAAATGTCGGGAAACCAGAGCCCCCCCAAATGACAGCCGCTCACAAGATTCTAGCAGCGGAGACTCGCGGCAGCTGGCGGGGCTCTGGGGGTGTCGAGGCGAGGGTGGCCGGGGTCTGGGGCTCGGGCGCCGAGGCAGGAGGAGCCCGCGGTCCGAGGAGGCGCGGGCTGCAGGCACGGAGGCTGGTGCACAACCCAAAATAAATAAAATAATAGTCGAGGCAGGAGCCGCAGCCGGAGCCGGCGGAGGGTGGGGTGGGGGGCAGGGTGGGTCCTTCTGCCGCTGCTGCCGGAGGAGGAGGCGGCGGCGGCGGCGCGTGGAGGGAGTGAGTTAGGGGGTGCTGCTAGTGCATGTGCATCGCCGATCCTCAGCCGTCGGTGCGTCCGCGGCGCCTTCGCCGACCCCCGCGCGCTGGGCAGGGCTGGGCCGGGGGCCGGCCCGGGGGACAGGTCTCTAGCGGGAGGCGGCGGCGCCGGCTCGCAGCGCTCGCATCGCCCGGAGCCGACCGGAGACCGGAGAGCGCGAGCGAGCCGCGGGCAGCCGGGAGCTCGGAGGGGAGAGAGGGAGCGAGAGAGAGGCTGGGAGGGAGGGGAGGGCAAAAATGCAGGGAGGGCCGGCGAGCGCGCGCGCCACAGCCCGGGCGGGGGAGGGGGCGAGCGCCGCGCGCGGTGCGCCAGCGGCTCTGCGCACCCCGCACGCCCGTCCGCCCGCTGACGTCAGCAGAGCCGCGCGCCGGCCCCGGGGACCGGGAGGGGCGGGGGCGGGCGGGGGGGGGGAGGCGCGCGCCCGGGCCCGCGTCAGCCGGCGGGAGCGCGCGCGGCGCGTCTTTCCCACCCCCCCGCGCTCCCCGCACCCCCACCGCTTCCCGCGGGGCTCGCGGCTCCCCGGGTGGGCGCGTGCGGGCCGGGCGGGGGGGGGCGGGGGGGGCGGGGCCTGGGCCGGGCGCGCGCCGCGTCCCCTCCCCGCCCCGCGCTCGGGTGGCGCCGGCCTCGGTGTCAATGGGAGCGCGGGGCTGGGCCGCCTCCGCGGCCGGCAGGTGGGCCTCCCGGCCCGCGCCCCGCGCCGCCCTCTCCCTCTCCGGCTTCCTCTCCATCTTGGCTCCGGCGGCTCGCCTTCGCGGTTGCTCCCCGGCCGCCGAGGCCCGGTGACCTCAGCCAACGTGAGGAGACTGTGGGTCGGAGGCAGCCTGCGTGCCTGATAGTTCGCCTTGGAGGCGCGGGGGCAGAGGCGCAGTTCTCGCTTCCTGCGCCCGCAGACATTGCTGGAGCACGTAGTGTGGCGGTGCGGAGAGAGGCACACAGTAGGCGGAGACAAAGCCAGGCCTGTCCTCTATAGAGCCCCGGCCTCCCGACCCCCGAGGTGTCCGTGCTGGGGGCAGCCCCGCCCTGGGGAGCTCGGGGAGGGAAGCGCCAGGTTGGCCAGGGAGCGAGCTTCTAGCTGCTAGCAGGTGCTCCCTCCCTAACGCAGAGCTGAAGCGCTCTTGCTCGTCCCAGACGCTTTAGCTTGGTGGAGGTCTTTGCCCTGATTTCTCTTGCCCTGCCCCTTCCCCAAACACAAATTCATAAGGTGAATTTTGAATAGATTTTCTCCCCCTGCCTCGTCTTTAAAAAAAAAAAAATTCCCCATCTATTTTCTTTTTGCAAATAAAAGACCCAGAAAGGCGGGTCAGTTACTCAGTGTCCTGAGGAAACACGTACACATTTGCCAAACATCAGCCATGTTCTGGGTGGTCTCTTTGAGATTTTGAAGAAGCTAGTTCTCACTGCACCAAAAAATCAGTTCCACCAGACAGCCCCAGGGGACCTCCCAGCGCGAGGGGCCAAATGGAAAGGTTGCCTGGGGACAGGAGAGGGGAAAACGTGTGTTCTAATAGCTGGGCATTTCTATGACTCTGAAAGCAAACTTGTTTGTTTCATTTCAACAATAGAACACACACACACCCCTGTTTTGGAAATGTTACCCAGCATAAAAATACATTTGCAATGGGGGGAGGAGGGGTGTGTGTGTGGGGGGGGGGGGGAGTTCAGGCCCACCCAGAAGAAAACATTTTTTTCCCCCTGAATTTTTAAATTTGTTATTTCCCAGTGTGGGTTTGCCGCATTGTACACAAATAGCTATGTCAAAAGTGGTGTGTAATGCAATTTGAATATCTAAATTGGAGCCACATTCTACTTTTCTAGGAATTTGACAAAGGGCTCAGAAAGAGTTTAGAAAGTAAATAACTTCTTCCCCATCTCTCCTCCCACCCCCCACCCCCTACCTGCAGGCCAGTTTTTTTGTGTGTGTATGCTTAGCGGGGAGTTTAGGGGATAAATCTGGTTTGCTTAAAATTAGGGTGTCACTGGAAGCCAGTTTCCAGATCAAAAACAAAGCTAAGGTACCCAACATCCAATAGGATTTATTTCCTCCTAAGTTTCCTAGGATGGTTATGCAGATCTATCAGATAACAGGGAAAAAATTCAGCAACCTCACCAAGACTCTTCTATCCCTACAAGACTACATTTGAAAGCCTGAAAAGGTAAGACTATATCCATTGCTTGGCAGGTGGTGGGTTATATTTTATATTTTCATGCTCTTTCGTATCAAGTAATTCTTAAGATCTAAGCCAGGGGTGGGCAAACTTTTTGACTCGAGGGCCACAATGGGTTTTTAAACTGGACCGGAGGGCCGGAACAAAGGCATGGATGGAGTGTTTGTGTGAACTAATATAAATTCAATGTAAACATCATTACATAAAAGGGTACGGCCTTTTTTTTTTTAGTTTTATTCATTTCAAACGGGCCGTAAGTTTGCCCACGGCTGAAGGGGCATTGTGGCTTGTTTGGTTGAATCAAACTATCCTTGATTTTAGGTATTCTTTCTTGGTATCATACCTGGTCTGGTAGAGACAAGAACCTATTTTTTGTGTGTGTGTGTTTCTCTTTATTCACTCGGTCCTTAAAAAGCACCCACCTACCTACTGGATCCGGAGGAATGTTCTAGGCTCTTCTAGACGTTGTATTTCAGGTTTGTCTACCCTGCTGTCCTTTTCTGGGTCACTTTGCATCTTTATCGCTGGGCTTCATAAAAGACTGATAACAATCCTCTTTGTCCGTCCAGTGCTTCACAGCTAGCTGAGCGCTTTTATAAAAATGATCTCATGTGAGCCTCTCAAATACACCTCAGTTTGGTCCTGTGGTGTGGGGAGCATCCTGGCTGAGTGGGAAGAAGTGAGACCATGAATCCAGGTTGACCCCGAGTACGTACCTATTTTACAGTTGAGAAAAACTGAGCCTCTGGGGGGAGGGTTGAAGAGCTTATGTGAGATCACGTGGTCATTATTAAGTCATAAGCCAGGGCTCCTTTTACAGGTTTGTGGATTATTTGAAAAATAGCGTGTTACATAAATACATAGAGCATGCGTCCTAGACGCACAGAAAATTCCCAATCCTAGGACCCGATTGTATCCTGGTCCCCCCAAAGGAAGTGAGGACGAGAACATCCCCGTTTTTTCTGTGAGTTATTAGTCATTAGATAATACCCCAATATCTGTCCACAATTAATTCCTGGAGGGATAGGGAAATGACAGTCCTAACATCAGGAATGATCAAATTCATTTGGTTTTATTTTATATGATCTTCAGAATTGTATTTCTCTGATCATTGCTGTTGGCCAGAGCATAAGGCTCATTTACTCCACCCTCAGTCAACATTCCTCCTGGCCCCCCACACACATTGTTCAACACATTTTTTATTTTTAAAAGGTAATTAGAATATTTTATGTGCTCTCTACAAGGAACAATGGCAAAAGCCTGCATTAGGTTGCCTTTTTTTTTAGTGCAGGTGGCTCTTAATTCAGGAGGAAGTAATTTATGTCATAAGCAAGATCCTCCAGCTCTGACTTACAGAAAGTGGGCTGTCAGGAGATGACCTGACTTTCCTTATTTGTTCCTGTTTGTTATTACTTTAATTAAATATGTGTGTATTGACAATCTGTGGTGCTTAATATATTGATTTAAACTCAAAGAGAGGTTCAGATATGAGCTTGGATTCGAGAAATCTTGGAATCCCTGGAATGTTCTCTCAAAACCATTCACGGGAGGATCAGTGTGTTTGTTAAAGGTTGTCACCTGTCTTACCAAGTCAGACTCTTCTGCAATCCGCATGACTAGCCATTCCCCAGGTGATTTTTCTGCGTACAACATGGGAGGAGGGGCTTAAACAGAATCTGTATGTGTCAACTACTTTTGCTCAGAGCTTACTTTCTTAAAATCCAATATCTCACATGCTTCTCAATTCAACTTTTTTTTTTTTTTTTAAAAAGGTTAATTGGGGTGTGTGTGTGTGTGTGTGTGTGTTTTGTATTTCTGCCAAAGGAAAAAATTATGCAAATCACCACTCCTTATGAACACTACCGTCATGGGAAGAAAATAGGCTAACATGTGTGGTTCATGAGCCAAATGAAATCAAACTAAATGTCAAGTGAATTAGACATTTTAGGGAGAATGGTAGATCACTGGAGATTTTAGTTTTCTGCACGAAGGGTTTCTATTATGAAATTGATAGTTCACAATCTAACTTAATGGTGAATATCATTTAGAATGTCTGGGTAAGACTAGTATATGACTTTGTGTTTCGTGATAAATATCTGGCATTAATGAGGGCAGATGATGATCAAAGATTTGTTTTCTGTCACTAGAAGGCCCCCTATTTTACCCATATTCAGCACTTCTCTGACTGATAGTCTTTTGTGCACACCTCTCAGACTTACTGAATTAGTGGTTCTCAGATGTCATTGTTCATAAGAATTACGTGGGGTACTTTTAAAAATGCAGATTTCTGGGCCCTGCGCCTGAATCAGTAAGTCTGAGGTGGAGCCTGGAAATGTTCATTTTTATAGTCAGACCATCTCCTTCGTGTGATACCCATGCCCTTTGAGAAACACCTCAGTGGACTGCAAACTCCGTTGAGGTGAAGGAGTTACCTTTTCACTCTGTGTGTATCCCAAAAGGCTAAGCATGGCCAGAGGTCCTCATTTTGAATACTTCTAAATTAAATTCACCTGGCTCTAAGCAAGGGCTAAATCAAATCACCTATTTAAGTTCTTCCCCGCTCTGAAACTGATTTTTCTGATAGAAATTTTGGGACGTGGTGATTCTAGAAAAAGTTTAAGATTGGGTGAGTTAAAAAAAAGGTAATGGATGTTTTCAAGTAAGGTTCTGACGTGCGAAACCGCACTGGTTTTAAACACACAGATGCGAGATTTATTGGTATTTAGTGAGAAAAGCAAATGTTTTTGAAGTTCCCATCAGAAAATTCTTTGCTAAGTTTTGTGTCTCATTTGTTATTTTGTAGAGTTTATAAAAATAAATGAGTTTCTTTATAATAGGAATAAAAGATGTCAGGGGAAGAAAAAAGGTTTTGTGTACTTTTAAATGAAGGGACTTGAATAAAGGGGCAGATTAAGGCTCGCAGGTAATTGAATTGAGCTCTTAAATTGTTGAAGTCCTTTATGTGGTCATTCTTAAGAGTTGAACAACAGCATTAGTTGTTGTATTCTGAAGGTACAAGAACCCCCAAGCGGGTTGGGTGTGCTTCATGGTTTTTCTCAATGTAGGATAGTAAGAGAATTCCACAAGGATGCACTTGGCTTGAATGGAGTGGGACGTTGGAAAGGGCTAGGACTTGAGCTTTCAAATTGGTAGGACTGACCAAGAGCTGAAATTGAAGTTGGAAGCTTTAGCTTAGTAAGAAGGCTTTACTTAACAGCCTTGGTCCCTGTTGTAATTTCCTTGGAAACTCTTTCATGAGAAACCAAGATCCTTATTTGTTATAATGAGAATAATAGTACTTTTCAACCTAACGGGGCTGGCATTGACATAAGATGAGCAGGTACACGTTTGTAAAATATTTATTTAAAACTTATTAAATCCTCCAGAAGACAGATTTCCTGACACAAAGGGTTTCTTGAATTATTTATCTTATTTCCTATCTCCACAGAGCCTTTCGCACATGCAGCTCCAACACATTTGAGACATTATCTCATTAGTCTTCTCAAGCTGCAAGGTCCAAAGTCTGATTTTTGCATTGCTCTTAACAAATAGGAATGTTTTTGTTTGTTCCTGTCAGTTATATTTGTGAAAGCCAAGAGTAGGTGAATTTTGTCTGAACCCAGTTAAAACCAGTTTGAATTGGCTGTAACAAGTGTGAGTGGTGGGAGGGCGAGGCTATCAATTAATTCAAACCTTAATCTAGAACAGCGGTTCTCAACCTGTGGGTCTTGACCCCTTTGGCGGTCGAACGACCCTTTCACAGGGGTCGCCTAAGACCATCCTGCAAATCAGATATTTACATGATGATTCATCACAGTAGCAACATGACAGTGATGAAGTAGCAACGAAAATAATGTTATGGTTGGGTCACAACATGAGGAACTGTATTTAAAGGGCCAGAAGGTTGAGAACCACTGATCTAGAAGAAGATTAAAAAAGTGTCTGATCAGACGAAACTGGCTTAATTTTGTGACCTTGTGACCGGGCTGCATCCTCTCAAGTGCACGTGGTTTGGGGTGTTTCCAGTCTGCCAAGTACCAAGAACATGGCGTTCTGGTGGGGTAACATGGTTCTTCAGTTGAGCTGACATTTGAGTGTGTTACCTGCTCCGCAAAGGCCTGCAAAACCCTGACCTCTGCGGCAGAGGAAAACATTTTTATGACATTCCTATGTGTGTGGTGAGTACTTCTATAAAATTGAAGAAGGGCAATTCAGAAAGAGATGCATTTTCTACCGGACACCTCTCCCATAGGACTTTTAGCTTGAATCAATTCAGAGCTGGAAGTAGAACAAGAACTGAACTGATATTCTTCTTGAGCTGCCCCGGCCGTCAGCTGTCTTTCCCCAAGACCACGGTAGCCTTGGGAGAAGACAGAGAAGATCAAAGGAAATGGAGGCAGGAGGACTTTGAGCTACTTACACCCAATGTAAATGAAAAACGGCACTGTTGGGAATGCCCAAAGAGAGGGCATATACACACCTCACACTGAATGTAAGGGCAGACAATGATTGAGATAAATGTCCAAAGGCAATCTTAAAAAAAAAAGTCAATGGTGGGATCCTGGATTGAGAGGTGGGATGAATGGAGCAGGGAAAGAAAAAGGGTAGATTTTAGGAATTCGTCAATTTGATTATCCTTTTTTTGTTTGTGTTACTTCAGAACCTCTTCTTCTCTCCTAGGAACGGAGGGACACCAATCATTCTTTCCTTCTCTCCCATTTCTGCTCCACTTCTATACTTAGCTTTATCCCCCCCTATACATATGCTCAGCAAAAAATAGTGATAAGAATATTTTCCCTATCATTGCCTTCATTTATGTAATGCATGTTTATTGTTTACTGTGTGCCAGACTCAGTGTTAGGTGCTGGGAATACACTGTTAAATATAACACACATGATCCCTGGCCATCAAGGTACATATAGCCTCTGATCTTTGAATTATAGCAATCTCTCAACAGTGTTTGATTTGATCCTTTGGGTTTTTTTTTT